AGCAATAACTTTCCTGTGCAAGATACGTAGGCCGCTATTTGTGAGCTATAACCGCTTCCCTCGTATACTGTAAGCTTGTTTAGTTTGTTTGCGGGAAAGGATAAAGTTACATTTTATGCGATGAAAAATTGTCTGTAAGCGGAGGAATGTGCGCGCGCAGGTGTGTGTGTTTATATCACCATCAGTCTATATCCTTATCCATGTATCTATCCATCTATCAAATTATCTACCTATCTATCCATTTACTTATAAATATCTATCTATCTGTCTGTCTATCTGTCTTTTTTATTTTTACACAACGTGTGTGTTTGTTTACGTGTTTTCCTTTCTGCCCATATGTGTTTGCGGGTTTGCCAACAGGCATGTGTCTTGTAATTGTATATAAGTGTATTTATGCGTTCATGTATGTCTATATATAAGCATTTTAATGATCAACGAGTGGAGACGAGAAGCAACATGAAGGAAAACAAAGAAACTCACTCCCTCAGGCTATATAGACACAAGACACATAAACCGGGAAGTCATCAGTATGAAAGATATAAGAAAGATGCCACAGTTATGGGAGGCAGTGTGGCGGAATTGCTTCTTTTTCGCTCGCACTCAAAAGATAGTAGGCGCAATGTTATAAATCTAAAGGCCGCTATGTACACTGGGTCGGAGAAAGAGAAGGGATGCGAGAGCAAAGAAGAAAAGGAGGAAGAAAGGTGGGTAGAAGGAACTAAAATTGCTACATTATTCCAGCTTAAATAGATACCACACTGGATTTTAGTTTCTGAGCTAATTTCAACGCGTGTATATTAGGACTGTAGAACCTCACTATCACTGCTCTAGTATGAATAGAGAGGCGATTTCTATATTAGTCTGATCCTAATTCTTTTAGCGGACTGAGTGGTTCAGTTTGTTTATTACCTCTTAATCTGCGTGGTATCTAGTGCACTAAGGGTCCACATCCCTTTCAAGGACGGTATATATATAGACCTCCATATATTCGTGAGTATATAATTACTTTAAGTGTTTATTTCCTTGCTGTTTTATTAGCATTCACACACACGTAAGAAATACTGTGATAGCGTAAATAAAGTTCTGGGCACTTTGCTAGACTCGAGGCAATTGCGTGATGAAAATGATTACAAAAGACTTTTCTCTCTCTTTCTCGTAGCATAAAAAAAAACGAACGTGGGTGGGCTGTTTCTGGCATTTTCTTAAAAGCTGGAAAAAATAATAATCGTCTCTCTCTCTCTCTCTCTCTCTCTCTGTGGAGAAATCTAATTATGTATTCATATCCTCATATCTCTACAGAAGATATAAGATTAAACATTCCTTTTGGTAGTGCGCATGCATGAATGCACACATGCATCTTTCCGAAGTCGAATGTAAGATTTCATTGCTTTCATGGGCAAGTTCGTCAGTGTCTGTCCCTCGCTCCCCTCGTCAGTTTGTCTTTCCAGTTTTCTTAAAATCCACATTCACTTTACACAACTTGCAATACGTTACACCTACAAAATGTATATTTTTTTACACATCTTTTGTTACAAAGAATGCTTTCTAAATTCTCCAAGAATGAGACTGCTTCTAAGAAAGTTTGTTTCTAACGAGGACAGAAGTGCCTCGTTAAGTTGGATTTTAAAGACCATATATTCTTTAGCCAATCATTTTCAGCCGTGTTTTGTACAGCCTGTGTTATCGTTTCCCCTCTTCAATATATGCCTCGGATTGATCTCTCCCCTCGGACTTTATCTCTCTCCACATCCTCTGCAATCTGTTTTATTTCCCGTCTTACGTCTCGCTCCAGTCTGTCTGTTGATTGCCTTCTATACTTCACCATCCATTGCTTTTCTGAGCCATTGAACTGAGGATTCCCTATATCATTTTTGTACGGACATTACTGTTCACCTTTATCTTGATACGTTGTCCTTCTCCCTTTGTCCACGCTATTTGGCACTATTCAAGGACTGTCAGTCTCCTTCTTCCAGAAACTACTAAATTTTCTCCATGTCAAAAGCCGCTAAAGTGTTCTTTCAGTAGTAGCTAAAATTTCTTCTTCTTTTTCCCTTGAACCATGAAACCCTCTTCCCCACTTTTCATTATAACACGCTAACCCCTTTGCTGCAAATAGATTCAACCCAAACCTCATTTCCTCTCTCTTGCTCCCTTAAACAACAACCTTCCTCATTTCTCACGATTCCCGCACCGTCCTCACCTCATTTTCCCACGAACCCCACACCTGCGTCTTTCCCTCTTCCCTCAAACCCCACACCTCCTTCTCCTCCTTCCCCATAACCCCCACGCCTTCTCCACCACCCTCGCCTCCCCATGCCTTCCCCCACTCACCTGAGAGCCCCACGCAGAGGGTCCAGATGCCCCCATGCATTGGGACGAGGTAGATGACTTTGGATGTCTGCCGCCGGAATCTAATGCTGTGTGAGTGGGAACCCATGTAAGCCTGAGACCCGGCGTCCTGTTGCCTCAGCTTCAGAGGCTGGTGGAGCTCAATGCTCAC